ACAACAACAACAACAACAACAACAACAACAATCATGCTGCGTGTATATGCAATATGAAAACCAAGATGGCCGACTCGCCTCAGCTAATCCATAACCACAAGAGAGACTCTGTCAGAGGATTCCTCCGCCTACAGAGAGACGCTCTGAATGGAATAATGAAATGAAGAATGGAAGACGAGTTGTGTGATACCTCGAGGTGGCAGAGAGTCCAATTCAAAAATAATCCAGCATCCCCTGCTTCTCCTCACACCTTCACCCAACAGCAGCGTGCACACACCCACTCATACATACAGATGGAGTTCAATGTTTATCTTCTAACACGGCGCTCAGCTGCAGCGCTGCTACTTCTGCAAATAAGCCCGGTGACACCAGAGGAGGCAAGTTATTCTGACAATGAATAGGGAGGGTGATGCTTTAATATACTGCTGATATGGAGTCAAAGGGAGGGGGGGGGGGGGGCGTCTCAGCTGGGGAGAGGAGTCTTGTTAAGTATAATACGGTGTCATCGCTGAGCTTCACTGCCACCACCGCCGCCGTCACTGGAGCTATTTTTAACCCGCCTGAGAATGCGGCTGGCAGGCAGAGAGTCTCTGTGTCCTCAAAAGGAGGAGAATGATGTTTGTCTGATGTCTGGCTCCCTGAAAACTCTCATTTTTCTTTTATTAAAAAAAAAAAAAACACCTCCGGGTTTGAAATTACTTTGCATGCACGATGAGTGGACGTGGTGGAAGAAGGAATCTCCTCACTTACTTTCCGCCCTAAAGCTCTTTGTGCTTTTTTCTTCTGTTAATAATGTCTCCTTTAAAATTCACCTGCTTTATCACATTTGTCACGTGTCCTGCACCCTCATTGGATATTATCAGTTGAATCAACCTGGTCAATGTTCCTTAAGTTGGTACGCAGCTTCTTGTTTTTGGAATTAGCTGCAAAATTAAAGGCACAGTTTGCAAACTCCGCCACCAGGGGGCTCTCGATCAAAACAATAACATAAGATGACGTCGAGGCTGGCGGGGAATCATGGGAGTGATTCTTCTGCTACTCCCAACCCCACCCCCCTGATGAAAACAAACTATCTGTTGACCGTAGTCATGACGACCGGGTGAAACCAACCTGAGGAAGAGAATCTGTTTACAGACGAGCTGATGTATCAGAGGATAATTTAAATGATGTTTTTATCACAGCAGCACTAACAGCGACAGTACGACAGCTTTCAGTAGCAGCTAACCACTTTGACGTAAGCTCCGATGTTTCCACGGCAACGATAAACGTGTCATGTCCGTCATGGCGGCCACCGCAACAAGAGACGTGCCGTTACAACTCTAAATGAAGAATTTCTCTGGCTTTGATAACTGTTGGAAATATTAGAGGTGATGTAAGAACTCAACATCGGTTTAGTCCATTTTTCATTAATTCAGATAAAATAAATTCTAATAAAATTCAACATATTGAACCTTTAAGTTATATCTTATTGGAACATTGGTATGCAGCTTCTCTGTCTTGGAATCAGCTGTAAAAATAATGAAGTCCTTGTGGGTTGGTTTACTCAGAAGCCCAAAGAGAACATGCCTACATGTATTTTTATTTGACTCCTTTTTCCTCAGTCGGATTATTTATCGCGTTATCTCGGGATGTTTTCCTCTGATGACGAGTTGATTTCTTGTGATCTTGACAAAACGATTTGAGCGATCTGATTGGTTTCAGGACGTGACGATGCCTCAGTATTAGACTGCTCATAACTAACTTCTGTTTGACTCGTGACGTGTTGTGTTTCATGTGCGATTGTGCGTCTGCCGTTCTGCCTCTGGACGCTACGTTCACATTCTCCATGAGACAATAAGGAAGAAGAAGGCACTACAGGCACGTTGGCCCATTTCTCTGCAAATCATTTCAAGCTAATTTAAGCCGGGCAGTTCTCTTCATTTCATCATCGATACGTCTTTCAAACGCTCGTATCTCAATCCGCCCGGTGAGGCAGCGGCGCTCTCCTGTGGTGGCGTTAATGAGCCGTGAGGTCTCGGTGGGAGGAGAAGGCCATGAAATATGGATCAGGACGAGATGTGGTTAATTCTGTATTCAGGGGACCTGCGCTGGTGGGGATCGGGTGACAGCCCCTCCCCCCCCATGCTGGATGTGATGTTTGTGTAATCCATCACTGGCATTAGGTCGTCTCTGAAAGATGGAGACGTGGGGCCACATGGAAAACTATCTTCTTTATAATGAAAAACAAAAAGAGACACCAGTGGACAGACTGGCTATGAGGAGCTGATTTCTCTGACTGAAGCTCAACTTCACAAAGAAAAGGAGCCAATCAACGGATTCAGAAATGATCAATAAGATATTATTTTACCCTCCAGGGAGCCAAAGAGTGACTGAAACAAAGCGTCAGTTTTGTTGTAAAAGTTTAACATGTCACATGAAACCTTTAAGAAGTAATTAATATGTGGTTAACTGGAAGATAACAATGGCGGCCTTAAACAGGATGTAGAATTATTTGGAACAGTCGAGTTCAATCCACACACTCCACTGTGTGTTTTTTGTGGGTGAACAGAGTGGTCTTACCTGGTTCTGGTTTCAGGATCTTCATGAGTAGAGTGGCACATGGCGCTGAACTGGGACACAAAGAAGTCGTAGCGGCGGTGGTAGGACGGCGTGTCCTCCTCGATGTTGGCAAACTTCACAAACTACAAAGAGGACAGAAACACAGAGGAACATATCTATTAGCACATTAGCGTCTTTGGGATTCAACAGTTTTGGTTCGATTCATCCATCTTGGAAATCGTTGGAGAAACCTGTTTAGGAACGTGTTCTGTATTGATGCTCAGTCTGTTTTATTAAAGTAGATTAGATTATACTTTACACTATCTAGAAACATAAACGTTCAACAGATCCAGAACATGTTGGATATTAAGGATTTGAAATCTGGATGTTAACATCTGTATTCTCAGAACAGCCAATGAGAGAGAAATGTACAAAGAGACAAAGATTCAAGACTTTAAGGGATGTAACCGTAAATAAAAAATCCCTGCCAGAAAAGGAAAAGCGTCCTTAATCCACCTCTGACATCGTCAACGAGAGTTCAAATACCTCCAATCAGAACTAATAACGGCCGTGAAGCTGCTAATTCTCACCAAAACCAGATTCATAATTAGAAGACATCTGTAATGACATGCAGCGCGCTTCAGAGAGTAAAAAGACGTCACGTCTGTGCATGGACATGAACTGGAAATGACGGCGATGATGATAATCACCATAAGAGAGCCACCCACTTTTGTCCAGCCTGTAATTTCTTCCCTCCAAACGGCGTGCAGAGTGTCCTCTGGAGAGGCCTCCTCACAGTCAGCTGTGCTCGAGGAGTGCTCCTCACTACCCTATCATTGTCCACTGCAACAAATTGCCTCTGTACAGTTTGACATTGGTGAGCGAAACCTCGCCGCTCTACCTGGTAATTTCCTCCCATTTAGTGTCTAACATCTCCCAGGGGCAATGGCTCAGACGGGGAGGAGGTAGGTGTGCAGGGAAGTGGCTTCCCATCAGCTTTTCAAACATGCTCCAGAATCAGACGACCAAACCAAGGCTTCAGACTCAGAGTGCTTTAACATGTAACTGATGGTGCACACTTTGAGCAGAGTCAAATGAAGGTACTCTTTAAGTATATAAAGAATAATAATACCAGTCTGAACAAACTGCTTCACACAAAAAAAAACGTTTTAAAGGAAAAAAAAAAGGAACGATCAGATATAAACAAACCATAGTCTGTATAAAACATGGACGTACTCTCAGTGGTTTGTAATGTGGAGTGTTGAAGCCCAACGATAGTGGTCGCCACATTTGAAATGCTGTCTCAACATAACTTCAGGTCAATCAACGGCAGGTAAAAAGGTGGAGCTGAGGCAGACCTCAAGCCTCCTGCCAAACATCTATAATATGCCCACTTTTCACTCATTTTAGCCACGCCCCTAATTATGCATGCATTTCTCTATAGCATTCATATTTTTAAAATGGAGTTGTAAAAAAATGTACTGGGTGTACCAATACAGACATGAGCTTTTGATACCTAATTTATTTTTGAACCACGCTGTAAGAAAGTTAATCTCTGATGTAAAGTGGGCATTTTGGCATGGGACCAAAATGGGGATGCCTCCGCTTTAGCAGCCGGCCCCAAGTGGACACTTGAGAAACTGTTTTTTTGAATATCTGGAGGCTGCTGCTTGAAACTGAGGTATACGCAAGATAATTTAAAAGAATTGCATAATCATATTCTGAAATTAAATTAAATACAAGCTCGCACAAAGACAAGCATGCCTTCAAAGGTGAATAAAAAACGAGATTGGGTCTAAAAACGAGATATTAATGGAAGTGGAAGATCTTCATGTTGATTAAAAGCTGTTCCAATGTTAGTAAAATCCAAGCATACAACACACCCCCCCCACAAAAAATAACTTTTTATTTTGCTTAGGTTTTCAAAATAAAATGGTTGTTTTCTTCTTAGATAGATAGATAGATACTTTACTGATCCCGAGGGAAAATCAAAGTATTCTTCGTAAAAGATCAAAGTTCAAAGGTTTGTGGATTAGATTTATGAACCAATTTCTTGCTTTGATTTTTAGGAATGAAGCAGTAGTTTGTCTCATTGGTCGTTTGTTGGTTGCCCTGGGTTGCTGGTTTACTGATGACCCTGCTGGTGAATATGCAGCATCACAGTCTGAGGGGGAGGACGCAGACTGCTGCTGACTCCAGCAAAGAAGTTGGACACTGCAGCCTCGAGTAATTTAAGAAGTCTTACTTAGCAATTATCTGTATTTTACAGAACATTTAGGATTACGTACACCTATATGAGCAACTCCGACACTTAACCTATGTGTTTGTTTTTTCCAAATTGTCAGTGGGTGAGAGTTTGTCAGGAGCTGCAGTTTTGAAGAACCATGATAAATCCTGGCCTCTGCAGTTCATCTCAGTAAAGTGTTGATGTCTTTGGTTGCAGACAGTCATAAAGGGCTGCTGCCACCTGAGTCCTGACTCAGGTAATGATGATGAAGACCTCCTCGGCCTCTTAACTGTCAGACTGGGACTTTGTTTCCCCTTCAGTTGTTGTTTGTGCTGAACGAAGAGGAAAAGTCTACAGCTGTGACTGGTACAGAGAGCTAAAGAACATTTAAGTCTGTCAAGTCTAATGTTCCAAAGCCAGTGGCATTGATTTGGCACTCAAGGCAAGAATCTTGCCCAAAGGTCAGGTTTCCTTCCTTTATGACGTCCTGTTCACAACTGACGAGTCCGCGGTAAAAAAGATCAAGGCTGATTGAGAAAGCGAATTACAAACCAATCTTTCTGAGGATTTCTGGGAAAAGGCGCTTGGGGCTGCTAATTCTTCTTCGAGCTGCGCTAGGCTGTCTCTCATCCAGTTTAAAGTGCTCCACAGACTTCATTACAGCAACATAAACTCTCCAGAATATTTCCGGATACAATTGATGAAACTTGTGGTAGATGTTCTCAGGCTCCTTGCAACCTGACTCACATGTTTTGGTCCTGTTCTAAATTAGTTAATTATTGGCAGTCCTTCTTTAAGTCCATCTCCGACATTTTAGGTATAAACATCAATCCATCCCCACATAACTATTTTCGGGAGGTCTCCTGACAATCTTGCCACCCCGACCACGCAGGACAATGTTATTGCATTTGCCTCTTTAATTGCCCGCAGGAAAATCCTTCTCTTATGGAAATCTTCACAACGCCCCTCCTTCAAAGCATGGCTGCACGATGTCTCATTTTGTCTTCTTATTAAGTTGGAGAAAATTAAATTCTCTCTTAGAGGGTGCTCTGATAGGTTTTACACTCACTGGAGACCTCTGCTTCAATATTTTGAGAAACTCTCACCTGACGAGGTATTGTAGTAGTACACCATCGCCTGCTGATACTGATCCTGTCCTCTCGTGCCTGTCCAGCCGCCCCCCCCCTTTTTTTTCTCCCCGAGTCAGGGCAAACCTGTGCGTAATTAAATACCAAATTTTATGTTCTGACCATACTTCTTTCTGTGCGCGGGTTCTTCAGCCGCTTAAGTGGTAGCCTGGATGTGAGCAGCTGTTGTCTGCAGTGTGCGTGAGTGATTCTGTCTCTTTCACAGGTTATACTGTTATATTGGTTACCTATGTGGTATGCTCATAACAACTTTCATTCCTGTCAATGTTGTTTGTTCATTTATATATTCATTTTTTTGTTTATGTTTGTCTTGTCAATTTTCATTATTATTATTTATTTGTTTTTATTTGTTTTTTTGTGAAGTTTTCCAATCTTGCACTTTTATTCTTGTCTTTAAACTAAGAGGTCTATTTGTTGGTCTGGGAGGGTTGTTTACAGGGCGATGGGATACTGGGTTTTTGAATGTTTCTGATTGCACTGTATGCTTTGAACTTGCTTTCATAAAAATATGTTGAAAAAAAAAAAAGTCTGTCAAGTCTAATTAAAGCTCTACCTTTAATATGTCTATTCAATATGGACAAAATCAAAGCATTTTCATCCATAGTCACATATCACACTCTGCCCCTATATGATGTTCATACACAAGAAAGAGTGTGTTAAAGGTCACATATTCTGTAAATCCTCTTCTCCATCTTCCTCTAACTCTAATATGTGTCTATAGTCCGTCTACAAACCCCCCAATCATGAGAAAAGTCCATCCTCTCCGTCTTCTCCCTGCTCCACTTTTCAGAAAATGTGTGCTCAAACAGGCCGTTTGGAGATTTTCCCTTCATGACATCACAAAGGGTAGTAGCCCCTCCCCCAGGTGGGTGACACTCCCACAGCTAGGTGTTTGTTCTGCCCTCTGAGTCTGCCTTCTCACCGTAAACAATAGGACATGGAGCAAGAAAGACAGAGTACACCCAAGCCCTTCCAGAGAGGGGGCGTGGTCAGACACAGCTCATTTACATATTTAAAGGTACAGACACAGAAACAGCCTGTTCTGAGCAGGGCTGAAATAGAGGGGTTTATAGACATGATCAAATACAGGATCAGAGTGGATTTAGAACAAGAAACTTCACACACATGTTTTGAGGAGCTCTGACACTTATTTACACTGAAGAAGAGGAGGAGGATATGTGACCTTTAAAATCTACTAACCACATGTTAGAGGGAAAGTAAGGACTCACTTAAAGGCACCTCGAGACATTAAACAGATTATTTTGGGCAATCGCTGGGTGTCTGATTTTTTTTAAGGTCTGAGCTGCACATGAAAGAATTCAAACAGAGAGAAAAAACAAAGACTTTGAAGTGGACTGATGAAGGTTCCTCTGTTAGAAGAGGAGCCAAGTCTTCAGAGGCCATCTGCGCACTAACTGTTGAGCGAAATCACAAGTGAAGAAGGTCGACTGAGGCCGAAATGAAGCAACAGACGGAATCTAAAGAAGGAGAGACGGGGAAGAACTGATAGAGCTTACTCAGATTAGAGACTCCCTTTTTGTTCACAAAGTCCACGACTGACACATGGAAGCAGGAAGAAGATTGAACCGGTGAATAGAGACGCACATTTCCTTATCAGACTGTCCGCTGTGTGTGTGGCACATCTGGCTCAGCAGACTATAAATAGCTGACGTCTAAACTCCCCGGTGTGTCTGACTCAGTGGCTTCATTTGCTCGAGTGCAGACTGATGAGTGTCTCTTCTATTGAGATGGAGCGCAGGAAGAGACACTTCAAGCCGTCGCAGTCTGCCAATTTCTTGTGACAAAGAGAGCTGGCTGATGGATTTGGCCACACGGACGGGAGTGACACACGCTGGGCACAGAAGGCAGAGGGGAGACAGGTGACGGGTAGATTTCAAGTGAAAAATCATGCATGTTTTTATTCCAATGATTTGAAAACCTTTTATATGATTGGTTAACAGAATGGTTATTAATTAGCAGAACATCTTAAAAGTTTTTATCCACATTTTAATGTGATTTTGTGTTGAGTTAGTTTTCAATCCAAAGCCATTTTCAGACTTCTTGTTTTCGCTAAAGCGCCGTAACTAAGCTCCGCCCTCATCACGTCTTTGTACCTTCAATTTGATTCTGAGACGGCGTAAAATCGAGCCACAGCCTGTGAGATTCAAGATGCTTTTCGGCGTTGCAGAAGCTCCACATAGAAACTCAGTCAGACATGCGCACACACACACACACAGCACTGCGCTCCCCTGCTGGCTCAGCTGATCCCATCTCTCCTCTGTAACGCCTCTGTTACTACCTCTGAAGACGCTACAGAGGGTGTATCACTTGGCCCCCCGTTACGCCTCAGCAACAAGACTGAAGGTGAAATGTCACAGGGGCTTAAATATCACGGCTTGAAACACCAGTCTGAATAGAGCTGAAGAAAATAATGATATACTCTTTAAAGGGACTCTAACACCAACTGTGAGACCATGTGGCCGTTCATGAAGCCCGTTGGCTTGAGGCTTAAAACACCTTTACTTAACAATAACAGTTTGATACTCTTTAAGTCTTAAACTGATTTAAACTCATTTGATTTAGATTGAATAAAAAGGTAAACACCTTAGGAAATAAAATGTGAGAAGAGGGAGAAGAAAGATCGAGCTTAGTCCCCTGGAGCGTTATTTTAAAATACATGAAACAGAATGTTGAGCTCTGTGACTGAACCATTACTAAATGGACTCAACTTCAATTAGACACATTTTAGTGGCATGAACTGAAGCTTTTCCATGATTCCAGTTCCACGGAGACCAGAATGCAGGCCTGCTCGAGGTCCCTCAAGTCTCTGAACGTAGTATGGGAGGTAGAGCCTGGTCCCTGTCCTTTGGAATCATGCATCAGTAGAGGCTATCCACATTGTGTACCTGTGCTTGCGCTCGTGTATGAACTGCACCATGCTGAAGTAAACCTCTTCAAAGCGTGCCAGGGCCAAAGAAGTGCATCGAGTTTGAGCACAGACTGGAGCACTCACACTCGTCAAACTAACTGGGGTGAAGTGTGCTTATGCACGGTAAGGCCTGCCTAGTGAGAGTGCGCCCTTAATCAGCCAATCAAAGTGCAGCAAACCTCAGTTTACCATGAGTCTGGTTCTCCCCAAGGTTTTTTTTTCTTTCTACTGTTGCCAAGTGTTTACTCATGTTACATCTCTTGAAATAACTCGGAGGATGTTCCGGACCTTCTCTTTGTGAAGTTTGCTGAGAAATAAAGAAAGACGTATTGATGGAGCTCTGACATGTTTTTGTTTTTTTGTTGTTGTTGTTTTCGCCTGTGATGTTGTCGATCAGGATGATTTAGTTTAATCTACTCTCCGGCTCTGCACTGCGAGCAGCTCTGCAGGACTGACGAGTCACCGCTGAGGCTCGGCTGCTTTCAAACAGTATTTCAACCAAAAAAGCTGCACTCATTTGTCGGGCTGCGTCTTGTTCTGCAGACATCTCAAACAAACTCATTAAACTGATAATTACCTGACGGAACAAACACGAGTGCTTCTTTTTTTCCACGGCTGAGATGTGAAACCAAAAACGCTGACATTAAACGCAGCGTCTCGCCTTTGTAGCCGGCATCATGAGGGGGCATATAATTAACACAGCTTGCTCCTAAAGGCGGCGTTTGCCACTGTTGACAACGCCCCCCCTCCCGACTCACCTACCTGTCTCTGCCTTCATCAGAGTCTAAATACCACACATAAATAATGCAAAGGCTTTCACGTCTAAAACCTGCGGCTCTGTTTCCTGCTTCCTGCTCACATGAACCTCCAACAATGGAAAGGACGACAGGCCCAGAACAAGAGGCATGAAGAGGGGGAAAAAAAAACTTTGGGTTCACCTTCAAAAGACTTACAAAGGGGGGGGGGGGGGGAATGAGTCTGACATTTGCTGGCGGCTTATAAAAGGCTAATAATAATCAGAATCTGTCACAGGATATGGTATTTCCACCGCCAGAGTAAAAGTTAAATGAGGTATTAAACCAGCGACATCAACCTCTGGGCTGCAGCTGAGTAATGTGTTCAATGTTCTGCTCAGTGTGTGTGTGTGTGTGTGTGTGTGTGTGTGTGTGTTCAGCTTGAAGTGAAGCTTTATGTTCATTTTATTTTGTGTTCACAGCAAAATTAAAAAAGATTGATTGTCTTATTTCGAGGCAACGTTTTCAAACAACGAGCTACAAAAACAGAGTTCAGGGATGTTGCAGCAAGGAAGAATGAGCAACATGTTCCACATCAATAAATCATAAAGTCTGTCCTGTGTAAATGTGTCTCTGAGTCCTGACTGTCTACAATGAGGGAGAAGCTCGAGTCCCGCTGGCTGTGTTGTTGTCAGAGCCGTGTTTACATGGACAGGACGGCCGGCTCCTCCCCTTGTGTATAAAAGCTGTTTTAGTCAAGAACTAGAGAGAAGAAGAAGAACATACTCACTGATTATTTGGATGTTAGTAAGAGTTTTTAGATCACGCTCATTCTGTGTCAGTTTACATGAAATGTGAAGCTACGAGCTAACTAAAGAGCGCTAACATTAGCATGCTAACACAACAATGTGAAGCTACGAGCTAACTAAAGAGCGCTAACATTAGCATGCTAACACAACAATGCAGGCAGCAGCCCCAGTAAAGGACAATTGCTGCTAACACTTTAAGTCGTTTGTTATGGTGTTTCATTTCCCTGAATGGTGTATGAATGGATGAGTTAATACTGATGGACTCTTCACTCAGCAGCCTCTACCATCAGTGTGTGAATGTGTATGAATGGATGAGTTAATACTGATGGACTCTTCACTCAGCAGCCTCTACCATCAGTGTGTGAATGTGTATGAATGGATGAGTTAATACTGATGGACTCTTCACTCAGCAGCCTCTACCATCAGTGTATGAATGGATGAGTTAATACTGATGGACTCTTTACTCAGCAGCCTCTACCATCAGCGTGTGAATGTGTATGAATGGATGAGTTAATACTGATGGACTCTTTACTCAGCAGCCTCTACCATCAGTGTGTGAATGTGTATGAATGGATGAGTTAATACTGATGGACTCTTTACTCAGCAGCCTCTACCATCAGTGTGTGAATGTGTATGAATGGATGAGTTAATACTGATGGACTCTTTACTCAGCAGCCTCTACCATCAGTGTGTGAATGTGTAGGTGTGACCTGCGGTGTAAAAGCCCTTTGAGTAGTCAGAAGACTACAAAAGAACTACAAGCTGAAGTCCATTTTTGTGTGTTGTTCATTATTACTCTGCATGTCTGCTTAGAAGAAGTTCAATATTGTGTCTTTCCTTTAAATCCGAGTCAAGTTGAAAACGTCCCTGACACCAGTATCCTGATGGAAACCAAGATTTCATAAACAGTTAGTCTCACCGAGTTGGTTCCCAGAACCTGCAGGTCTGGTTCTCTGGACTCCAGCAGCTTGGCCACCATGTGCAGGAAACTCTCCACGAAGGGTTTGATGCTCTGAGAGTGACAGGCCATCAGCAGCTGGTCCAGAGCCTCCATGGCGATCACCACGTACCTGCACAGAGGACGGGAGGGAATCATCATCGAGGCCTGAGCTGCTCTGAGACAGGAAGTGTTTTAACATCTGAGGCATGCAGCACTCTGCCAGGACACATGGAAATATCTCAAAAATGAACGTTCAGAGTTTTAAACTTTTGTTGTGTTAAAAATGAAGTTGTTCTTGGGATATGAATTCTTTAAAGACAGTAAAAAGAAATGCCTTCAGTGCTCGAGTTCCACTGTTGTTGCTTAATTCAAGAGGTTATTCACTTGAGATTTTGATTGGCTGTATTTTTTTATATTTCTTTCTCTACTATGCCTTGATTGGTGGAACCTTGGAACACTTTCATCATGTTTTGATAAATAGTTTTCCTTCTCTTATTGTACTGTTGCATCTGTTTTGTAATATTCATGTTGTAATGGATGTCACTATCTCGCTGGCTGTAAAATAAATCGACGCTGTGGCTCAGTTGGTAGAGTCGGTCGTCTCTCAACCAGAAGGTCAGGGGTTCGATCGCCAGCTCCTGCAACCAACATATACGATGTGTCCTTTGGCAAGACACTTAACCCCAAGTTGCTCCTGCTGTTTTGTCGGGGGCCTGTGAATATGTGTGAATGGGATCAGCATTAGCCAAGAGTTGACTTGTTAATGTCATGTTACAACCCTAACCTGAGGTCATGAGCTGTGACAGTGACCCAAAGAATAAGATCATGGATACAAGTGGCTGAAATGAGACTCCTCCAAAGGATGTCTAGGCTCTATGTCTACAATCCCCCAGGAGGAGCTGGAAAATGTTGCTTGGGAGAAAGTTGTCTGAGTCGACTGCCACCGCGACCCGTCCTCCAATAAGCCGACATAAAATCGATGGATGGACGAATGGATGGAGGCTTATGAAATGGATGTTGGAACCAGCTATGCATCCAAGCAGCCTATTGATGCTCTGATTGGTTGTAGTTTGCAGAAGCATTTTTGTCTGTACTTGCTGACAACATTCCTCTGAAATGTAAACAAACTGAGAGGTTCAGACAAATTCAAACCTTCTTTGTTGTTCTTCTGATTCAAATCTACAGCCTGCAGTCTGAGCAGAGTTATTCTGGATGATTAGAACATCAGAAATACAGTTCATGCAGGTTGTTGTTGTGGACCAAATGGACAGTGTTTGTGTGTGATGTTTATTTAATGGCATGAATGTATTACAGCTCGAATGGACTCATCACTCGTATGCGGGCAGCTCGGTCCATCTGGGAGGCAACAAGCCTCGCCAAAATCTAACGACAGGTTTGGGATTTGAGTGACATAACAAACACGAGCATACGGACGTGACACTTTGTCGTGGACGGAGTGTTTTTTTTAAAGCGATGCCAAATGGTTTGGTCACAGCACATGGACGATTACAGATGGAGCGAGAGAGAGAGCGAGAGAGGGATGTGTTTGTTCTCTGAATTTCGGCTTCGGGGAGTTAAAGTCACAGCCAATTAAACACCACTTCTGACGTTATAATCACTGCATTGATTTGGTGCTGCAAATTTTGCCTTTTAGAAAATACATTAGGGATACTTTTGTCTCTCAACTCGTTTTAATTACGTTCGAGGAGCAGAAGGCTCAAAACGGTTCAGGGAAATGTGAAGCAACGAGATTTGTAATGTGGTAAAGACCATTCTGAGGAGAGCCTCCTTCGCTGTGTGATTTTAAACTTGATTAACTCTGTTACACTGGGATCTTTGTGCTTCGTCTCCAGGGGATCGAGGAGGAGGATTCACCAGTTAATGATGCTGTTTGTTTACGGTAAGTTACTGTAAGTGACTACTTCATGTACTGTCTGTTTCCCCATCAAGTTTCATTGTGCCCAATGTGGTTATAGATTCACAAATCTTCTACTTCTTTTTGCAAGCTTTGGTAAAAACCATAACTGTAAATATTAACAGGCGCAACCTGGGTGACCCAGCTGTTCCTGCAGGGGGCGCTGGAGTCCCATCGATGGCGGTCTCCATGCTGGAAATGCTGTCTCAGCCTAACTTTCAGTCAGCCTAACGATAGGCTGAGAGCTGGAGCTGAGGCGGGTTTTAAACCTCCTGACAAACCGTTACACCACGCCCACCTGTCAATCATGTCAGCTACACGCCTTATTGTGAATGACGCTGCATTCAAGTGCTCCTCAGATGGTCCTTGTTACCCAATTGGGAAGTTGTTCCTCAAACTTAGTGTGTTCACGTTCTTTCAGGTTGGGAGAGTAACAAGTTTTATTTGAGCTGAAAGTTAATGTGAAATAAGTGGATTAAGAAAAAGTTTCTCAACATTGACAAAACATCTTCTGCCCCCCATGTGACGATCAATATGACGTCAAGTCGGGCACCAATTCTTTCCCGAGCTTCGAGTTGTTGTTCCGACTTGAGCAGGAGTTCATGAGCATTTTCCCTCTCCGACACTCGTCTGTCCCACATGAATACATGGTGACTCTTATCCTTTATAAAATCTAAACAGATAGTTTTGTTTTCAGGGAGTGCAACGGTCAACACAAGAAAAATAATCTTCACATTTTGAAGTTGTTCAAAGTAAAGTGTGACTTACCCGTAGCGATGTCGCACCACATCTCTGCTCAGCCTCTCGGCCAGGTACGCTCCGATCCTGTCCAGCTTCTCCGGAGCCGACACAGCGTAGAAGGTGAGCTTCTCCATGTCTGATTTACTGAGGCCATCCTGAGGGACACGACCAGACGTGACAGATTCACAGGGTTAAAAGAAAAGTGTACGGAGAGAGTTCCTTTTCTTCAATGTTTATTCATTGATCTGGATGGTTTTTAACTTAGGGGGACCAAATGTCCCCATTTGACTGGGACGTTCCGTTTTCAGTTCCCCACAAATATCTAGAAAACTCTAATACGTCCCGGTTTTGAACGGTCCCTGTCCTCATATTAACCAACCAAAACAACACACCATGCTAACAACACTGTTCTGTCAACGTCGTTGCCAAGGCTGCTGCTGTTTTAACAAACAGAAAAACATCACTAACGCACCAGGTGTCAAAGTTCAACACTGGTTTGTCTGTTCATGTGTCAATCAATCAATCAGCTGTTAGTTAGCTAGCCTAGCTTATCATGCTAACAGGACCTAGAGCATAACGACAGGTAGGCGAGCGGTCGTGCCTAAAAGGAAGTCAGATTTTTCCAAAGAGCTTCAAGAGAGTGACAGCTTCCTTTGAAAAGTAACAGCCAATGAACATGCTGCTTTTTGTACACACTGCAACAAGTTATCTGCAGAGAACAGCGAGAATGTCCGAGCACGGACTCTGTGGATCGTCACATGGAACAAAAACAATAGCCAATCACGAATCAAGATGACCGAAGCAGGAAGCACAACAAACATTACCATGGCAACGAGAGCGAACGTAAAGTTAGGTGGACGTCAGAAATGGAGGAACCGGTGAGCCCGTGGCCAAGTGGTTGGTGGGCGCGCCCCATGTACAGAGGCTATAGTCCTCCAAGCGGGCGTCCTGGGTTTGAATCCCGCCTGTGGGATCACAATCACTCCCCGCTCTCTCTCTCTCCCTGATTTCTCAATCTATGCACTGTCCAATCACAAAATAAAGGCGTAAAGAGCCAAAAAATAAACCTTCAAAATAAAGTAAAGAAACGGAGGACCAACTTGTTGATTTGTGGCAACAACACAAGAGTTCATACAACATGTCTGTTCAACAAAACACAACTGACAAGGACAGGAGCTGGACCAAAACGGACGTACCAAGTAGCTAACAGCTAGCCACATTAAACTTAGCCATCATGTTTGTTTACTCTTAAATCACGTTTGTTGAGACTGAATGAGTCGGTTAGTGTGTTATGCGCTGAGTTGGTCGTCTCGTTGTTTACCACTCACTATAACAGTTTGCCTGTCGTCGTGTGTGTGTGCTCCCTCACTCTCTCTCCTCTACTTTAACTGTCAAATCTAAATCTGAATATAGCTTGCATGATTATCTCCTCACATCTGCATTACCCCATCAGGATGATGATTTAGTCCACTCCTCTCGGGTTTTGTCCTTACCTACCTACTTTATTTGAGACTCATAATATCTTCATATAATTAGAAATATACCAAACACAAGTCAAACTACAGAGATTCCGTTTCATTTCATTTCTTCTAAAAACAAACCACAGAAGTCAAAATGTATGTTAAGACTTGTTGCATGTTTGTAAACTTCTAAAGGACACTCTGTGAACTTCATTGTCGTCCATATAAAAAAAGTGATGCCTCCAGGTGTCGTACGTAAAGAGGAGGGAGTTAATTTGAGACCGTCTGTCCCCCGAGTGTCTCCAGCTCCTCGGGCTCTCAGCGAGCGATAATTAATCTGACAAGGTCTCGACCATTCTAGCGTTCCCCCCCCACCCCACCGCCCTGTTTGCTTACACCAAAGGCTCTTGGGGGAAATATTTAGAGGATGGGTGAGAGATTTACGAGAAATAAATGAATAAGACAACCCTCTTGTGTATTGGACCAATAGGTGCATATTTAACGTTTTAATTAACAGAGGTTAAGGAATCCTAACAGGTGATAATATGTTGTCATGGTCCTGTTATTGAGGTCGTGTCACATTTAATTAGCAGGTTTATCAGACGACTGAAGCTCTTGTGTGTCTCTGGGGTTGTCTGATTATATCGGAGTTGAGCTCTCTGGAGAACACGGGGTTAACACGCTGCTAAAGGCTAAAATTGTGACTGCTCCGAGTCTCAAAGGAACCGTGATATTTACAGCCCTGTGACGTTTCACCTACAGTCTGAATGTCGCAGAGTGATCCCCCCTGTACTGTCTTTAGAGGTAGTAACAGAGGCGTTACAGAGGAGAGAGGATCAGCTGAGTCAGCGTCAGAGCACAGCGCTGTGTGTGTGTGTGTGTGTGTGTGTGTGTGTGTGTGTGTGTGTGTGTGTGTGTGTGTGTGTGTGTGGCTCCTGCTGTGCTTCCTCAACCATGCTCTTTTGTAAAGCGTCTCAAGATAACAGTTGTCGTGAATTGGCGCTGCTTATGCCCGCAGAGTGAGAACATAAATACCAAAATAATAATGAAATGAATATAATGAAAGATGAGTTACTTACTTTCGGGTCCTCGGGGAAGATGTTGTCCACCAGGCGTTTGTACCTCGGCCTCAGCGGCCCACAGCAGCCACAAACTCCTGCAACAAACAACAAAGACGTGACAATTAGGACAGATGGTTTCCTCCTGAGACTTCATCAGATCATTCAGTGAGAGCATGAGTTCACCTTCACATCGTGCACAAACTGTACGCTTGCACACCTATCGATTCTTTCATGCACAGATTTTCAGACTTTTCTCTCACCATCAGACAACTTCTGAACACGTTTGACTATTTTATCCAACAACCCTTTTACCAGTTTCAGAATAAAAGCACAGTCATTCCATTCAGCATATGACACTTCCTGTAGGCTACAGGTTAAAATAAACAGACATATAGCACATTCTCCTCCTTCAGCAAGCCGGCTTCATGCCTCAGGATTGAGAGTCTGAGGGATTTCTGGCTGACATGTCTCCAGCAGAGCAAGCTCTTAATCACAACTTTCTGACTGTTATGAAAGTCACCACAGGAACTGGTGATGCAATCGGCTGCAAGACATATTCCTCCTCTCCTCCGCTGAGTCATCTGGAGCTTTTTTGAGTGTCTGAGATGATCCCGGCTTACTTTGGATTCAATAGGCGATGTGAGAGGTCGCCTCCTATTGACGGACATGAATTAGTATTACACACAGCAGCGTCTGAGTCAATAAGAAGTGATGAGTCAGGGCTCGATGGTGTGTGTGTGTGTGTGTGGGGTGAATAAGTTAAAGTCAGAGCGGAACAATTACAGAGCAGCCGAGCGGGCGACCAGCAGGAGCCTGCAGACTCCACAGAGGAGCGTCTGAATGCTGTGCTCACTGACATTAACGTTCCTTTAAGGCTGGTACTACCAATCAGTGAGTCACAGCCTAAAGTGGACATTTTTTGCCTTTCATTTGACAAACATCTGAA